TTAGCTGTGGAGGGCAGTGTCACTGGCCCTCATATGTGGGATCTGAACCGGGGCCCTCTGGCGTCCCAAGCCAGCTCTTAACCATCGCGCCGCTTGGCCGGCCCCCCTTTTTCTTTCTAGCTATTCTAGTGCGTGTGTATCTCATCCCAGTTCGGGTTTGCATTCCCCTGATTACCGATGAGCTCAGCATCTTTCCATGTGCTTATCGGCCATCTGTATGTCTTTCTTGGCTGTACTGAAATATCAAGGTCTCCGAGCTCTCTGGCAGGCCAACTCTCTCCTAGTCCCTGGAACACGGGGACTGCACACCTATCTGTGTAACTATCCCATTCACATCTGTTTCCCCACCAGACTTCAGGCAGGAGAGCCTGTTTTCTACCCTCTGCTGTGTCCCCAGCACCAAGCCTGGCATGACAGCACTCCGTGCGGCCTCAGGCCCAGCAAAGGCCGACCGACCCCATCTGTCTTAGGAGACTTACCCTCAGCCAGGCCCCAAGATCCACACTGGCTTCTCCCCACTCTCATCAGCCCTAATGATATTTCTTGGATGGATGGATGGATGGATGGATGGATGGATGGATGAATATGCTTTATATGGCATGGGTGAATTTAGATCTGCTACCCCTATGCATTGTCTTAGGAAAAGCAGGGCCCCGTTACTTCATGCATGAAGTCGGGGTTCTCCCTCGTTAGGGTCCAGTGGACAGGAGGTGTGCAGGGCCTCTGGGAGGCAGGCAACCACCAGAGGGGATGGGCTCAGCTTTACAAAGACAGTGACCCACCTGCAATCCCAGTGCCCCCCCTTTCTTGTTTGACTTTGAACAGCTAGTTTCTTCACACACAAAATGATTATAGTGACACCTCAAAAGATACAGTAAGGCTGCATCTGCGGACACCCCAGCATGTGTCCAGCACAGCGAGGGGCTTGCTAACGGTCAGCCTCCTTGCTCTTCCCACTGAAGCGGTTTTCATTGACGGGAAGGGCCTCTGGCATCGTACAGGCTTACAAGGCCAGGATGCGTTCTGAATCCCCTCGCCTATGAAATGCAGGGAATCAATCAGGTGGAGCGGCAGCACACACCCCCAAGTTCCCCAGCCTCTCGGAGCCTTTCATAAGGCTCCTCTGAGAAAGGGGCTCATGAAACCCACCCAAGAGGGTGGCCATACGGGTGGCGGTGATGTCTGCAAAGACTCAGGACGGGGCCTAGCATCTGGACACCTGCTGTACTGAGAGCCACTGTCATGTCATGACACAGCAGAGGAGGCCTCAGCGCGCCGCCTGCCTGGCTTCATGCGTTTATGCACAGTGACCCCACCCCCACCCCACCCCCATCTGAGACACAGCAAACCAAGCATGCCCTGCCTATACAGGGTGGCCACACGGCCAGACACGTGGGCTGAAGATGTCCGTGACAACACACATGTCCCTGACGTTTCCAGACTTGACAGACATCCTTGTGCTAAGTGTCCACGATGTGTCAGAAGCTGTTCTAAGTCATGGGCCCTGGAGCACAGAGACAGGACGCACAGGAACTCAGGCTTGCTCTGTGTCCTCTTAGCTCAGCTGGCTGCCCAAGGCCGCTGAAATCACACGCTCCCGCTGAGTCGGGCTGGTCAGCTTCATGCAGAGCCAATGCCGACAGGCCCCCGATCACTGGGGCGCACCCGCCTTTCCTGAGCTGACACGCAAGACTCCTTGAGCTGCGATCTCCGACACTTGCTCCTGATTCTAAGTCTCCTGTCGCCACCTCACTCTTCCCTCGGGACCCTGCCTGTTGCCAGGTGACCGGGGCGCCCTCCCACCCTGCCCCAGCAGCAGTCACTAAGACCCAACTTGACAGAAAAAAGGCTGCCACGCCCGCGCTTCCTTGGCCTCACGTGAGAACAAACACCGCAAGGTGTCTGGGACCGTGCGCCTTCTTTTTCCGCTTTGTATTTCTGCCAACGCATCATGCAGAACAGACGCACGACAAGGTTTTGATTTTAATTCATACCTGGATACTCCTCAGCGACAGGTTTTTCTTCCGAGTCTTTTGAAGGATGCTGTGAAACTTGCTCAGAAGAGGTGGATTCTCTCGTCTTTGTATTTGATTCTGGTTCCAGCTTAGATCTAAACATAAAGAATTGGCAGTCATATAACTTACTTAAGCAACAGGATCCTGTTATGACAACAGAAGGGGTCCCGTGTGGCCCCGCACGCCTGTTCTGTGCCCTCCACTGGAGGGCAGCGTTGCCGCCTCTGGGCCCAGTGAGCATCCCGCCACACCTCTAGCGGGGCACTTACTACAAGCCGCTGGTGTCACTGTCTGCAGGACAAGGACTGCGCCACCCCCACAGTGCACGGGGAGAGTGTGGGCAGCAGGGGCTGAAGGAAGGCAGGCAGGAACCTGCCCCACATGCTGACACCACACCCAACACGCAGGCAGCGGAGGCTGACTGTTCCCAGGTCAACAAATCCAGGACGCAGATAGTTTCACACCAGTGCAAGTGCTGCTGAAGGAAGACACGCGCGCGCGCGCGCGCACACACACACACACACATGTGCGCAAGCCCCTTACATGACATATGTAAGTAATATGTGCTAATATGTGATAACAGTTTAAATACAGAAGTACAAGTCTCTAAACAGCCCCTGGCTGGAGCCGACCTGTCTCAGGAACCGATCTGTCGCAGGCTTCTGCACTTGGCATTGCCTCGGGGCTCCTCCCACTGCTGAGCTATGGTCCACCTGCGGAGCCAGGCTCAGGCTCAACTTCAGAGAGGCCTGCTCCCACTTTCCTACCTACAGGAGGCCTCCTTCCGCTCCTCTGCCCACAGCGCCTATCCTCCTCCCCGCCGGCACCAGTCTGGACTGACCTTGCTAGATCACGCTCACTGTCTGTCTCACTCCACTGCAGAGCACGTGTCTGCTGCGGAGCCCTAGATGCTGGATGCATGCCTGGCATGCGGCATTTAATAAATACAAGCTGAATCAATGGATGTTTTATGACTGTCAGTAAAAGGCTATAAGACAGGAAAAAATTTGGTTATGAAACAACAGGCCTATAATGGCTTTATGGGAATCCACATAGCGAGTGCTATGAAAATTACAGACCAAGCGCTACAAGGTCTACGTCAAGTCCATAGAAGTAGGCAGAGAGGCTACGAATAAAAAGAATAATGCAGGTACGTATGAGGGTGATGTTAACGCCAGCTGACATTTATTGAGGCTTATTATGTACCGGGCATTTTTCTAAGGACTTCACATGGATAAATTTATTTAATGCCACCCAGCCCTAGAAGGCATGCTTATAATGACAAACAAAATGACCTAAATGTTCATCAGAAAGCACCTGGTTTACAGTGAGAAGATATAATGAAAGAGAAAATCCCATGTGCGGTAGCCAACACAAAAGATAAAAAATTACCAATAAAAACTCCAGCATACGCTAACAAGAAAAGCCCAAAACGCATATGTGAAAAACTAAAAGATGTTCTTAAAAGATAAAAAAAAAAATTACTGTAACTAATTAGAAGATACATTATGTTCTTGGATAGAAAAATATCATGAAGATGTTAGTTTTCCCAAAGTTAACTTATAAATATAATGTGATACCATCCTGAAGTCAGACAAGTCATCTATGAAATTCATGTGGAAACATGCAAGAATGGACAGAAAAGCTGTGAACAAATACTGACCTCTAGTTAATGATTTGCAAGCTGAAGTATTGCAGGGGCAGTGAACTGATGTCTGCAGGACTAAATGAATATACAGGATAGACATGTGAACAGCAGCAAGGATAGTAAAATGTAAATGCTAAAATTCAGGTGGTAGGTATATAGGTGTTCACTATAAAAGGAAACTGTGATGTATGTTTGAAAATGTTTATAACAAAATGTGGTGAGGGTGGTGGGGGAGAACAGCCAGAAAAACCCTAAAAAAGCAAGTGTGATATTAGGGCATGAAAAGACTGACAGACCAATGAAACAGAATAGAAAATTCAAGAAGACTCAATCATATATAGATATTTAGTATACGATAAAAGTTTAATACGTGAGGCCAGGAGAAATAGGTAGTTCCATGGGAAAAGGATAAAAGTGTTTCCTTATGCTGTAACCAAGATAAACTTCAGATGCATCAGAGATACAGACATAAAAAAATGAACTGTACACGTGAAAAAAACATGGGTTCATTCTACCTTTTCCCCTTCCACTTCTTTGATAATGAGAAACCTGGCTTCCAGTAGCCTTCCAATATCTACCACTCAAAGCTGTTGCAAAAACTGAATAAAATAGAACAACAAAGAAGTACCACATAAAAAAATGTAAGCACTTTACAAATTCTTACTACGGCTAAGAGTGTAGAAATTATTGGGGGTGTCCCAGGTAGGTGTCACTTAGGCAAGATCTTGAAAGAGAGTACGGTTCTGACAGGCAGTGGGCACTCTAACACTATCTATCAATTTCAAACTTCCCATTTACTCATTTATTTAGTCCTATCTAGATGAACTTGTGATGTCCTATTTTATTCAATAGGCCATAATCTGCTACTACCATTTATTTCGAGGTTCAAACTGTCTCCAGTTTGGCCAGGAGAAGGCCCTCAAAATGGCTTGTGTTCTTTTCACACGTCCCCATCATTCTGTGCCCTTACTCGTTTTCTGGTACCAAAAAAACCAAACGTTCCAGGCTCATTTTACACTTCCCGGGCCCCAGAATCAGCCATTTCTCCTAGGAGTCTTGTTTTCTGGCAGCTGAAACTGCTATTTAGATCTGAGTGCTAAGTGCGGTTATTGCTATTGGGTGTCACTGCTTCCAGGCCCTTTCAGTGGACGGTGCTAGGAAATACGTGTATTCACTTGCATACCGATTCACAACCGTATTTATTTCTATGTCTGTCTACGGAAACTGCAACCCACGAGTTCACACCAGTATCTGTCACTCCCGTCCAACACCACTGGGTCCACTCTGGCTTTCCCCCTTTCACTCTTCCAATAGTGAGAAACCTGGCCTCCATTCTCTTGCTATGTTTACCTGTCTGCGGAATCCCTCTGTATATAACCAGCCCACCCCTCCACCCCTCCCCCAGGCACAGGCCCTCTCCTTGCTTGGGCTCCGACAGGCTGCCGTGCTGAGCCAGCCCTCCCGGCTCACACCGACTCTGACCTGTGCTGGGAAACCAGCGCCATCACTGCACACACCCACCTCGCGCTGCCCCACACCAGGCGGCAAGGCTTGTTCAGGAAGGGGAAGGGCTTCCCTGACGTTTAAATAAAGGGCTTCTTTAATGTCTGTCATCCTTTGTGTCCAAAGTATGCTAATGTGTCAGTGTGCAATTTAAAAGGAACAAAAGACCGCGATGCAACAGACTTAGACAAAGCTGAGTGCTTTTTTTAAGTGATAAAAACAGATCTAATTATGCACAGAATGTCTACTGAAATCCCTCAGGGAAAATTACAAATTATCTAGTTGAAGGCAATTTGAAAAAAGCCACTTTTTAAAAGTCATCAGAAAGATCAGTTTACCCCCGATGATTTATTTAAATAAATTTCTCTAACTGAAGGCTGAGCATTTCGTAACTGCCAGCAACACAGTTTCCACCTGGCCAACATCTGTTTCCAAGTCCCGTATTTGAAAAACCTTGGGGTTCTATTTAAAAATTTAAAAGAACAATAGGACACAGAAAAGAGGGCGAAAAACTGGTTTGAAACAAGAAAAGATGTGGGAGAAATTCTTTGCATCCTTCAATAAAGCCTGGTACAAATATCAGGGGAAAGTAACTCACACCCAGGTTCCAGTGTGGTTCTTATCCTTCCTTTCTGCCCCAATAAAAGCTCCAGGTGGAACGGTGTGCTTGACATACAACACGATAGCACTACAATTGCGAACGTGCTTCCGGCTCAGGCACGCACACAGGCACAGGGGCCGTGTGCCCCGTGGGGCAGGGCTGCCTCACGCTGCCTTGATGAAGCACCTCGCCGTCTCCCATTCACTCGCTGCAGGGATCTACTGGATATGTACTAGGTCCTAGGTGGTTTTCAGGCCAGTGCTACTCAAAGTGGGGTCCCACGAACCAGACCATGAGCTGTGTGTCACTGGCCTGCTACAAGACATGCACCAAAGCGAAGGGCACTCATTCTAGAAACGTTTATAGCAACGTGACATTGCCATTTAATCAGTGGGCTCATCTCCCGAACAGGGGGGCATAGGCCAGCCCAGGTGGTGTCAAATCAATGCAGTGGGTGACCTGCGGTTCAAGCTGTGAACCTGCCCTGCACAGGGGGGTGCACATCAGCCCAGGACGACTGCGAAGAACAAACCACATGAAACAAAGCCCTGCACCATGGAGAGCCTGTCGAAAGCGGGGTCGGCCTGCTTTTCCTGTCAAGGGCCCGACAGTGAGAGCCTCAGGCTTTGTGAGCCACATGCAGTCTCTATCTCATATTCTTCTTTCATTTTTGTTTTTTTTACAATCCTTTAAAAATATAAAAACCGCGCTTAGCTCGAGGGCTGTACAAAAGCCGGCAAAGGGCCGATGTGGCCCAGGGTCAGTGTGCTGATCCCTTTTGTAGACATGAAGAGGTCCCTGTTCTGGGGAGTGAAAAAGACAAAATCAAGGGTGGGGCACGTGGGGAGAGGCTGGTACGAGGGTACAGACTATCGTAAGATGAACAGGATCTGAGGCCCTCATGTACATCGTGAGATTCCGCCGCTGGTAACACTGTGTGGTATGATTGAAATTTGCTGACAGTAGGACTTACATGCTCCCACCAAAAAGGGATAAATATGTGAGGTGATGGGTGAGTTAATTAACTAGATGGGCAAGGATCCTTTCACAGTGTGTGTGTGTGTGTGTGTGTGTGTGT